TCAAATTGTTTAAAATATCCTCCATGGATATCAAAGTTTTGTTAAGGTTTTAATAGCTAATAAAGATAGTGAATCTGCATTTAGAATTTAAATAAATACCTACAATGGAATATATAAAAATCTTTACCTATATCTTTAAAAATTAAATAAGTTTATGTGGTTAATTTCCTTCTGTCCACAACTTTTCAGACATTCTTCCCATTTCAACGTAACTTTCAGGTTTCTTTGGATTCCATTTAATGAGTAGGTTTTTTTTAAGTGGTGGCAATAATAGATATATTCATAAAAGTAACACTTATAGAGATATTCCGATTGTTAAATATGCACAAAATAGCGAGTAATCCAAAGAACAAATATTGATTTTTTTGATTATAAGAAAACATGGTAGAGCTTTCTGTATCATGTCACAGAAATCTTCGTGGAAGACTTTCTAAGCAAAACTGACTCATGTAGACTTTACACTTGAGGTAAACCACAAAAACGTCCATGCAGCCAGGTTGCCTAGAACCAAACCGAGGTCGAACTAGCAGAGACTAGTGATTCTACCACTGGTGGACTGAAGAATAATTTTCTTCAAAATAAATTCAAAATTTCAATTTTTGTTTACTGCTTGTATCCAATTGCACATGAAAGAAATGGCTGAATCAGCATCAGGATTCAGTTTAGAGATAACCTTATGGCTGGTAAAGAATATCTCACAACCTAGTATTGTAAGAATTTTCAAAAATAACCTGCTCAATTTCAATGCATAATACTGAAATATTAACCAGGTTCAAACTCAGGTGAATAGCTTGCATACTCTCCCCCCCCCCCCTGTTATATGAAAAGAAGGCAATTTTTAACAGAAGGTCTTCAAATTTATTAATCAGACTGCATTCATCTGCTTTCCCATATTTAAGTAAATCAACTGTAAAATTTACAAAAAAAATAATGTGATTTGGCAATATAGCACTAACTTTCCAAACTTTCAAAATGCAGTTTTAAAGTTTTAGAAACACATAAAATTAATAATATAAAAACGAGTAATAATGTAAAGCAACAAATGAGAAAAGTAAACTATACTGTCGACACAATTAACTTAGCGAAAAATTGATGAAAATTTAGTTGTTGAAAAATTAGGCCAAAATATAATAAATGCTGTATGCAATGTATCTTACTGTAGAAAAAACATCTTATACTATGGTCATTTTGGCATTACAGATATCCATATTTTACATGCAAATGCTTTACGCATGTGCATGTTGAAAGAAATGTTTAATGAAGTAAACAAATAAATATTAAGCTTTTATTGTAAAATTTAATATGCTTTAGATCATAATTGCTTGTTATTTCATAAATTATGGTTTCATATTTTAATAGTATAATTTCTGTTTGCCATCTTACCAGATTTAAATTGATTCAAAAAAATCCCTAATCCAGAAACGCCGAAGTCCCGACGAGTCCGGATTAAGGACTTTGTACTGTATTTACAAAATAATATTAGCAATTTCCGTAATATATATCTTTGCATGTGAGAAAATACATGTAATGTAACATGAATAAAGCATAAAGAATTTGATTATAATTAACTGCTCTAAACATTACCGGCTGCATTATTCTAAAGGTTATCTTGATCTAACGCAATGAAAAAAAAAATCTTAAATTGCAGCGAATCCTGAAAATTTGTTAGTGACAAGCAACATATTCATTTAAGACACAATAAAACACCGAACAAATACTAATTCAGAAGACAAACAACAAAAATCAGCGTTGTATTTTTAAATTTTCACAGGACTAGTTTTGATGATTTTACCGAACCACCATTTGTCAGCTGCAAAAGCGCAAATGAATGAGATAGGATATAATGATCAAATAAGATAAGATGGCCTGGACAGAAAATAAGCTAGTGGCGCCATTTCTTGATGAAACCAGAACTAAAACAATTTCTTTAAAGGCCGAAGGCAAAGATGGATTGGAATTAGGATCGTTAACTAGAACAGAAAGATTTTTTTGAATGTGAAATGCCTCTAGAAAATCCAGTTCTCCAATGGAAGATTTTTTTTTTTTTTTTTTTGGAATAATTTTGGCAGCAGGAAAATTGAAAGTGTGATTTTCGGACCAACAATGTTAGGTAACAGCAGACTTCTGTGTTTCCTTTTTTCTAACACATGACTCATGTTCCTTGACGCAAAATTTTAAGGCTCTCTTAGTTTGGCCAATGTAAATTAAACCACACTGGCAAGGAATCCTATAAATACCCCAGGAATTCATATCCGGAATGGGGTCCTTGAGTATGGAACTCGGAATTTTATTGATGGGAGAATAAACAACCCGAAAATTAAATTTCTGCAAAATATGTGCAACTTTATAGCTAATTGATGGAAAGAAGGAAATGACAACAGAGAATTTATAATCTCCTAAAACAAGAGTGTGCCTTGTAGTGTGTTGAGATGAGAATTTTTTAACTGCTTGATTAATAATGTTGGGTGAAAAGCCCCTGTCAATAGCTATTGCTTTTAAATAATTTAGTTCTTCATCAAGGGATAGTTTGGAGGAGCAAACTTGAAGATCACGGAAAACATAGGAATAAAATGAAGCTAACTTTTGTTTAGTTGGATGACATGATTAAGTTAACGATTCTAATTCCAATCCATCTTTGCCTTCAACCTTTAAAGAAATTATGTTTTAGTTCTGGTTTCACCAATGCCACTAGCTTATTTTCTGTCCAGGCTTTCTTATCTTATCTGATCATTATATCCTTCATACAATGGTGGTTCAGAAAAAGCATTGAAACTAGTCCCGTGGAAATTTGAAAATATAACGCTGATTTTTGTTGTTTGACTTCTGAATTAACATATTCATTTATTTGCTTGCTTGTTTCTCCAATAGGTATTTAAGAGTAATTTTTAATTTGGTAGTTTTCTTTACAAACTGTATACTTAATTGTACTTTTTCCCTTCCAGATCAGTTCAAATAATATAATATAGTTTTTAACCACTCATATAAACCAGTGAAACTATGAGGTCATTCTCTATTCATTACCAATATATCAAATGAGAAGAGCATGTTCTAACACCCACACGATATTAACCTCAATTCAGTCCATAAGATGAATCTTTTCAGCACCATATGGAAAGTGAGGAGGATATCTGAACTTTTGGTTGTCCGTCGTATTAAACCCGTTTTGAGAAATCTTAACTAAGAACTCATTACTTTTATTTTACACCTCTAGACCTCAGACAGCGAGTCAGAGTATCTTAACCTGCATACTAAATAATCCCAGAAGGAGGAAGTTCATAAGTACAGGTAACAACTTTATTGAAAAACCGAGAAAGCATTTTTGATAATACATTGAAATTATTGGAAATAAAATGATGCACAGAAATCTGTAGAAGATTTTGCTCACTTTGAAGTGCTCATCATTTAAAAACATTAAATTCTAAATCAATGTTTAAGTAGGTCAACTGATTAGTGCAGCACACATAATGGCTATCTACCGTAGTGAAGGAAGGGCATTTCAAGTGAAAGTGATTCATACTCATATTACACATTGGGAAAAACAAGAACACCAACCATGCAGCCAATCATTCACCTGGATATGAATCAGATCAAACTACCAGCATTTGGTGAACTTACCTGCTCAGCTTACCAGCTGCTGATGTAAACAGGAATTTTTAAATATATAAATTACATTTTACAATGCAATACTATCAGGGAGATTTTACAAAATTTCATCAGAAAGCTCACTACTGGTGATCAAAAACTCCATATTTAATAACGTTTTTGATTGCCTATGAAACATTAACCACTATCCTTTGCTAATTATTTCTAAACAAGCACATTCATATAATTGTTGAGGAAAATTGAGATGTTATAGGCAAAGATGTTCCTCGATGATTTTTTTTTGGGGGGGGGAAGCAGCACATTTATTTTTTTCTCTCATTTAACCTTCTGAGTGGTAGGGGTTTTCACTAAGGAAGGACAAATTTCCCAAAACTACTATGAGGACAAATTATTCTTTTGATTTTAATGTAAAATGTAATCTCCTGGTATTTCACACCTGGATTTGTTTTCTTTTAATAATATATTGCCTTAATTTCTTTGACATATTTTAATATGCACGTATATATACATTCTTACAGATATCACAAAAATATTCTAGGCCGTATATATACGGCATTGCTGCTTAGAGGGTTAAGACCATAAAGTTAACTTTAAAAATAATTTTACTAGTGTAAAAAAAGTTCTTGTCATAAAATATTCTAATATATTTTTTATGAGAGATGTATATTTCATTAAAAATTTCCCAATTATTTATTAATTTTTCATTCTACGTCGTTTATCCTTATGAAATTATTTCCTTTATATGAAACTATTGAAAATGTGTATATTTAATAAATGATAATTAAATAATTCATATGATCATGGGTATGTTTTTGATGGTTATGTGCAACAATTCTAATTTAGTCTTAAAATTATAAATGGGAAAATGTTAACAAAACATAAAAGACCTGACCTAGCCTTGGTCTTAAGATTTGCTGATTGTAAAGTTTGCTTTAATTGAAAGATATAATATTCAAGATTAATACAAAAAATTCACTGAAGTACTGAAAGAACTTTGTAATGCAAATATTCAGCCTGACTTTATATGCAAATTCTCAGAGAGGGACAATGAAGTAGGCAAGTGTCACAGTACAGCACAGTGGAAACAGTTCTTGAAGAAGCAATCATTTTGATATATTCATCAAATGTTTTTACACAGACTTGTTTAATTACCACAAATTATCACTGATGACCATAAAACTTCTAGCAATGTGAAATTTATACTACAATGGAAACAAATATTTGTGTTATTTGCCTTGTTCAAAACTAGTATTTTTGAGCCTTCAAAAATATAATCTAACTTCAAATACATAATCTAACAGTACTGAAAATATTGTATATACCAAAAGAATTGTCTAATAAAAATGACAAATTGAAGTTTATGTGTCAAATTTGTATTTTATTTATTTCAGCATGAGCGACCACATTATGACATCAAGTTCATATCTGATGAAAGACCTTGGTGAGCTTAAACCAGAAGTAATATATGTTTTCTCTTATAATTGCTATAATTTAGTAACAGTACAAAAATATATAAATCTTTTATCATGTATCTGCCTGCGGCCAGCCAATCAGCTGCCTCCTTATCACAGCATAGAGCCAGCAGACATACCAGCAGCTTGAAAGGTTGGAGTTGTATGGAGAAATTCGGCAGGGTGGTTGCATCCGAGTTTGAATTAAGATTTTAGCCGCTGAGGCTGTTATAATTTTAGTAAGGTGTTAAGAATACCTGATTTTAAATATGTTTAAACCTGTCATTTCAATTATATTCTTTAAGCTGATGTAAATATTTCTGTACATATAGTCGTTTTAATTAAAAAATTTTAAAATGTGAAAAGTAGATTTAATTGAAATACAAAGTCCGAAATCTGGACTCATCAGATTCGGATCGCTCGGCGATTCCTGATTTGAGATTTGCCGGATATTAATTAGATCATTAGTTTGAATCTAGTAAGATGGCAGACGAAATTTTAAAATTAAAAATATGAAATCATGATTTATGAAATAATGAAGTATTTATGACCTAAAGGGTATAAAAATTTACAAAAAAAAAAAAAAAAAAAAATAGAAGAAGAAGAAGCTTAATATTTATTTATTTACCTTATTAAACATTTCTTTCAAGTTCTGTTGTTTAAGTTGCTTCGCTTTTTGTGCTAATGCTTTCTCTTTAATTCTGTACAGATATAATCTCTTGTTTAGTTACATTGTTGAAGTCATGTAACTGCTGTTTCGAGAATTACGACTACCTTGTCAATCGAAATTTTTCCCATTTTCAGTAACTTCTCTGTCACTTTCTTCACTATCCGTAGCGGTATTTTCTAGATCTAGAACCATACTACAGAGTTCGCCATTCATTGATTGATTGACAATTCTTCACTATTACATATTTGGCTATGCATCATGAGCTTGCGACTAACGACAAGTTGTTCTGTTAAATTTTATATTGCTTCTTTTGCCACTGATACAATTAAGCCAGAATTGTATTAGTTTAGTTATTTATTATACTTATGTCTATTTCTTGCACATGCTTAAAGCTTATCAGAGTTCTGAATAAATAAATTCCCAAATATACTTAAGCCCTACTGAGGACGGGCGCTAGATATCGTACTGCCTGATGTATTCTGTGTAGGTCCTAAATTCTGCAACTCGATGTGGCCATACGGGCCCTGGCACTAGTTCTGGGTTTATATGAATAACAAATCAGTTATTCTTAATTCAAATAGCCCTACATATAATCTTTCGGTCTATGAGTATCATCAACAAAACCTATTTTTAGCATATGAAAAGAAATTTTTGGTAAATTTTTCCTCCTCAACATTTTTTAGCGCATTTTACTTTGTAATCATCGCCAAGCATAATGTCAACATAAAAAGTTACCATACTCCTTTATTATTCAATTACTAACATAAAATTGTTTAGGTATTGCTACATGAGTCATTACTCAAGTTGTCATGTTTTGATAAACATGCCGTGATGAAAGGAAAGTATAATAAATAATGATTTGCCAGCTTGGCACAAGATCAACAATGTATCTATGAAGAATGTTTCAGTTTGAGATGTCTGCCAAGCAGATATGCAGCAATGGAGCCAAATTACTGATTGTACAAATTTCTGCTAAAATGATTGTTTCTTCAATAACAAGGTATTTTATTTAGTGTCAAAGTGAAATTAAGAATCGGGAGTCTCCAGATGTTTTACTATGCACAGTGGGGGGAATCAAATGTGCATGCATAAAGGCCTACGAGAAAAACATTTTTGGTGGTTTTGAGGTCTGGATCTTAGATCATTCCAGATAATGAGCGTCTGGATTTCGGATTTGTACTGTATAAATTATCACGAACCTAAGAGATATGACAATCCTGTAGCATACAAAAGCATGAATGTTATAAGTGCAATGACAATATAAAATATATTATTTATTTTATTTAATTAATAAATATTTATTTTATTTAATTAATAAATTTATATATTTTTCTGGTGTTGTTTCATTTATGTACAATTTTCGGTTCTGTTTCAGCCTTGTGCCAAATGTGAAACTGCAGTAAAGGGGCACAGAATATACTGGACCAGGAACAAAAAAGTATGATATAATTACTTTCATTCCATTTTACATTAAAGTTTTTTTTTTTAATTAGCTTTAAAAACACAAGAATTAGGATAGGCTGTAATTCAATTACTCAGTTAAGGTTTTAACAATTCTATGCCTAGGATTTGATTCTCTTCTGGCTCCTTCCGAATATAATGCTGAATGAAGTGCAATTAAGACCGATCATTCTGCAATATGAATAAATAAATTGTGCAAAATAATACTGAAAGTTTAAAAAACTACACATATGGGAAGTGTGTAGATAAATAAAGAGGAAACGCTTTTTTTAAGCTCAAACAATAAAGGCACAATAAAAATTTTTAACATTATTCCCTATATTTACATTTTGATACATTTCTGCAAGGAAGTCTCAATTCTTATGGTGAATGTGACAATGAAATATTACAATTTAAGTTAACTGAAAATTAAGTTTCCCTGAAACTTCAGTTTTAGATTTAATTTTGGAGCAAAATTTAAGCCTCAGGTCTCCAAAAGTTGCATTTTTTATTACTTACATAAAAGTACATAAGGTTTAAATACAATACCAATTTCGACTTCTACCTAAAATAATGAAAGGAAGGAATAAGTTTAATTAATAAAGCATCAAATGATGCTTAATGATAGAAAAATGGGTTAAAATAATGTACTTGCACTACTATAGGGTACTAAGCTGTCCATATAATTTGAGATAACCATTTCCTATGCCAAGCATTACGGAAAAAAATTCATGCTAACTGCTTTCTCCCATGCATAACTTAAATATCCAGTATAAAACTGAAAACTATTACCAAATATTGATTACAGGTATTCCTCATTTAACAACCAAATTACTTTTATATGACTTGGTCAACATGCTGGCAATGTATTGAAGAGAATTAAGTGGATTTTGCTTGTTGACATTTCAGCTTTAAATATCATTATAACAGCTTTAAATATCATTATACAGATAACTCATTGTTTATATTTCTGAAAATAAAAGAGCAAAGAAAGAAAACTTTGGCATAAGAAATTAGAATTACTTTGCATACTATCACTGTACATGGAGATAAGAGCATACATTTATACATGAATCCAAAATATCTTTTAGTATATAGCAGTCATTTTTTTATATTTGAAATTATCACCAAGGTTATTAGATATAGCAGAAAGTATAATTGTTGTTGGGAAGAACACTCAAGGCCTGCTTGGAATAACTTCAAAGAAACTGAACAGAGTTATCATCTCTTACAATTTTCTTTCATTCATAAATTTTAGAATGGCATTTTACAAGGTCAACCACTTGCAATTTTATTTCTATACCTCCCTATTCTAACTGAGCTGCTAATAATTCTGAGAACCTATTAACAACCTACACTGCAGTTAAGTTTTTTTTTTTTTTTTTCCATTTCTTAGGAGCATTTTCCTAATTCCCTCACCTTTTTTCTTCATCCCATCACACTAATTTTTTCAGACATTTTAAAATTATTTATGAACATTTCAAGCATGTTTTCTATGTGCGCTGCAAACTTTCTATCTTTTTCAAGCTTATTAAATGTTCTGTAAGCTGAGAGTAAAAAATTTTCATTCCTTTTTGTTGATGCTAAAGCTCTAGGAAACGTTTTCTATAATAGTAAGCTTAATTGTCTGTGGCCCATATCTTGCAAGACGGAAGTCATAATTTTAGGCAAGAACCTTATTTAGATGCACGATGATGATAGACATGATTGGGGTAAACATTATTATTATTTTTTTACTTTTAAACGGCCAATGATTTTATTTAATAGCTATTAGCCTTGTGCCACTACAAAGGCCGGAAGTAGTGGCCATTTCATCATGGAAGCACCTAATAAGTGGCCAATGTTGCTTCCTGTAAAGGGATGGACGATTACAACCATGCCCTCTCCAGGATTCAAACCACCCAGTCCCATTGCTATGGCAGTCAGGGTAGCTAACCTCTATACCAGCTGGGTGGCGTAAACATTAAAAATTAGGAGGATAATCTTGAAAGGAATGTTTTCCCTAATAATACTGATTTAGAACATAAACCAACTTATTTATATATCCTCATATAATACTTGCAAATTCCACAACTCATTATTTGCATGATGTAAAAGTAGTGTGTACTTATAAACCTATTTCAAAGTATAAGGATTTTGATAAAGAAGGAGTAATTTCGCTTTTAATCCAGCAACACTTCCTTCTCGAAACTACGTAATTTGTAAAAAAACAGGTTTTGAAATCTAAATAGTTTAAATCTATATGCTCATCTTTAGATACTAGCATGATGCAGTTGTGTAACATACTAATTTAAACTAATTCATTGCTAATTACAACTTTATAAATCTAATATAATGCAGATCTCATATTTCTCTGCCTTACTTAATAACTGTACAAACATTACACACTTGTGACACTTTCATGCTCATCTGCATCTTCCGCTGGCATATCAGGTTATATTGACAACATTGGAACATAAGAAAAATAGCCAATTAAAAAAAAACTTTAAAAAGACAGTATTTAAAATGTCTCATTAAAGTTAATCATTCAAAGAAGTTTTTACTGTAACTGTACTGTGTAACTAGTTCACACATTTCATAGAATTCTTTCCTAACAAAAGTATAGATTTTTCTTAAGCATAATAGATAAATAACCTTAAATATTCGCTCTCTGTATGAAATATCTCTATCTTCAAATAAAAATGCATTTATTAACAAGCCCACGAGCAGCAGAACGGTAAAATTACCGTTCTGACAGATCAACTTCCAGTTCATTGCGTGCTGCGTCGTCTCCCCCCCTGCCACAGAGCAGCGCGAAATTGATATACAGATTTCGGAATGGTTAGAGGAACAAAGGATATGCCTTTATCCATTTTTTGCAGCAATTCTACTTTTTGTTTGATGACATCAAAACATGCTTTCGCTTTGTAGATAGATCCTTTGGCAGCTTCAGAATCGAAAATTCTTTTTCACATAATCAAACATTGAAGCTTACTTTTATAAAATTGCTCTAACAGTCTGCAAATAATAAGTGGGATCCAATTAGATTAAGGAACAACGCAATCTGCAACATTAACTGAAATAGATAATTTTAGCTTAGCTTATACCGTCCTTTATACATTAAAAAAGTAGGAAAAAAAAGTGGTTTTAATCTTTTTGCATGGATAGGTTGTAGAGCCATTAGGTTATTTCAGAAGCAGGAGAGATGAAAAATTAGCAATGCCCTCACCGAGACTCGAACCACGGGCCTCTCGAATATGCGCCGACCGTGCTGACCACTACAAAAGCAAGCTAAGGCGGCGGGAGAAATATCTTATAAGGTAATTGTACAAGAGAATTTTTTTATTAATGAAGAAAATGAAAACTGACAGTTTAAAAGATGCATCATTTGTCTCACTGTACCATACACAGGGGTAGACAACTCAGGCGAGCACAATTCTAGGCTCCCATGCATGATTGTGGTATCCCTAAATAACAAGCAGTAGATTTTCTAACAAGTGTTCCATAGCATATGTAGGAGTTTCAGAGCAAAACTCTGAACCTTGCCCTAGAGGGGAATTACAAATGAAAAACATTTAACTAGGCGAAAAAGTGGTAAACAAAGAGTTCAATTACTACCCTGAGCTACTACACACACGATGTTAACACAAAATACAAAACAAGTGTTGGCCAGATTTTGAGAATACCAAAATTTCACATGTGACAAAAATAATGTAAATAACATATAGTGCATGAGCGTAAAAATAAAGTGTAAGGTTAAATAGCAGGTATTAAATATATCAATAGCAAACCAAAACCAAAGGTATTAGTCAAACACATGGGAACTTAATTTATCTGTACAATATTATTAATATCTTCTAATATCTGGTAGAAAATATTTGTTTTCGAACCCAGATCATCACCACAGCTTCTCATGTCTGTAAGTTTATTTCTGAATATTTGGGTGATCCTATTCAAATTGTTACCAAATAATTTTTGAATTTCGATCATTTTTTTCATAAGTAAATCTCCAATTGCACTCATGCTTAAGTTTTATGTAGAGTTCATATTTGTATCAGTTTGGTCAATATTGGTATTTGCATGTGTAACATTACGGTTATGTGCTTGCACATGTTTCTATTCAGAGTTCAAAGCTTCTGCATAACTAACTCCAGGCTTAACTGAAGTTTTACCAGCTATTTTAAATTTCGGGAATTTACTACATCTTCTGCAGGAAGCTGGGTTGGAATACTAACCCACAATTAACACACTTAGGTCCCTCTGTTTTGCCTTTGCTTTCACAATCAGAGCTTTTGTGAAAGCATGCACATTTCACACACACCTAGGTGGCATGTGGTTCCTGAGGTTACACCTAGTTGTTCAGTTTCTGATGAATGATGCCGTTTCTGGCAGTTGAAGCATTGGGGTATTTGAATTTGGATAAAGATTTTTCAACATTAATATTGAAATAAAGTAAATTAGAAAGCTTATAAATATCACCAACTGTATCACTTCTAAGTAACAGGGTTTGAAATAAAGGCATAGGAGCTTTGATGTGATTTTTTTAACTGCACAACCTCATATACATTATATTCTTTTTCTTCAAAAGCATTTTTAATTTCACTAACCTCTGTAGTAGAGGGAAGATCTTGTAGTAGAACCTCAAGAGGCTTTTCGTGCCTTAAACTGACCACAAAATGATCCAAAGAATTCTCCTCAAAGAATTTACTAATAGTACGATGGTCATCCTTAGTAGTTGGTAATATTCTTATAAATTCACCACTAAGGCGACACGGAAATTTAGCATTGGATAAACTTTTAGCAATATTTTTAGCAGTCTCCAAATTTTTAATTTTCCTGAAGTCTCTCCATAATAGGGAGAATATTAACATTGACCGCACAAGGGATTACCTGCCATGTGCTAATAGTTGCCTGAGGATTAGAGTCTTGATCATTACTGTTACAACTAGCCACTCACATCACTATCACAATTATTAGTACTATTTGCATTAGGTGTATTAGACAAAACCTCAAACTTATTAGAAACTGGTACTTTTTTGTTTTCGATTACCTTTGGCTTGGCAGTTTTTGTCAGTTTCTTAACCCTTTGTTGCTCAGTGTTCCACTACATGGAACACCCAACTTGAATCGCTTGTGAAACCATTAAATTCAACTGTAAATGGATAAAAATGCCTTTATAATATACTTTGAACTTTTCTTTTTAAATAGTAGATGGCAGCATATCACAAGGATACCCACAATTTTCACCTATGATTTGTTATTAAAATCTACTTATTTGCAAGTAATTTTCTCTATTTTTTTGTGATACAAAAAAAAAAAAAAAAAAAAATTTGTTTGAAAAAACATTTCTGTATAATTTTAATGGCTGTACTCTATATTATTTGTTCTATATATTTTTTTAAATTTTTCATACAAAAAGCAAATGCAGAATCATCGAATAAAACAGGGTGTTCCTCAACAGGAACACTGCGCCTTTAGCGATCTCAGGCTATTATCCATCAAAAAACATCTGTTGTATATGTTTTCTGTTTCTGTTGTTTTTTGGGAGAATAAATTCAAACAAAGCAGTGAGGTCTGGTTTGTGCTACGAAAGCCCTAATATGGGCATCTTGATATTTTTATGAGTTCAGGCGGAAATTCTATCAGTAGTTCGTCATCCTTTCAGTAGCTTGAGTCATCACAAAACAAGTTTTGTATGCAAAGTTGCTTTGTGCATCTATCAAAAAGGTGTGACATGCTTTGAACAATTTCATGAAGCTAAGAAATTGAAACATTTGTAAATATTTTTTTATATAGGACTTGTGTATATACATACATATATTTATCTCATTTATCCATATATATTTAAGAATATTGTGTATATCCAGAAAACCATGTATACAACCATAATACATTGTTTTTTCATTACTATACAAAAGCTTCTACTCATTTTCATGCTTCACTGCAATGCTCGCGTAGTCACACTTTAAGAGCTCTGGCAGCAGTTTTCCACCTCATGGAACACCCTCAAAATTAAAAAAGTATGTGCAATTTTTACAAAATTTTACATGTTTACTTCTTTAGGCAACAACTGAGTACAACTTTTTTTTGTTGAAATTCCAAATTTAAAGTATAGTGCACCACAAAGGGTTAAAACGTACACCATTATCAATTAAATCAGAATCCATATTTACTATTTTACATTTACTATGACCTGCACTCCGTGCAGCAAATTTAGGCTTAACAGACATGTTATCAACATAATTACTAACACTATTACTAGAACTGGCCAATTTGGAAGTACTTGCTAAGTAAACTTCACACTTACATTCTCATTCATTTATCTGACTTGCAGTTGAATTCCAGGTAGAAATCCAGGTGTAAAGGTATCTGGTTCAGAACAATCCTGTTGGACAAGGTTTTCATGTAACATTCATTTTAACCATTCACGTTTTTCTTTCAGCATAACAATTTTTGCTTTAGCAGCATCAAAGTCTGAAAAGATATAAATATGAGTCCTGACAAGAGTCCAAATCACGATTCCTATTTTTGCATAAGTATTCATAATTCATATCAGTATCATTATCAGTATAGGATAAGTCATCACTAATCCTATCAGCCCAGCAAACGTGGGCAGCCGTGGGAAGACTTTATCATCCGCTGGTGAACAGTCACTCTGCATATTGGAGACAGGAGCGATCAGAACGAGCACTTAATGCTACGTGTCTAAAGTGGAAATCTACACAGGAGTAGACGTTTTGCCACCCCTCTATCTCTGTGGGTCCTGAACTAATCCTCTATGGATCATGCCCAGTGTCTGTCCTAAACTCTAAAAATTTGTTTATCCCTAATTTGTAATCTTTAAATTTTGTTGCTCGGTGCTTCACTAATTTCTAAAATTCTTGCCACAATGCATCTGATGCCAGCCCTGACAGTATGTCATTTTGCATTTATTCTCAATACTCACACTGTTAAAGATATAAAATTGGCAGTTTTTATATACATTCTAAATACATGCACTTCTTTAGAATAGCAGAAGTCTTCAATTTAATCTGAAATCTTAAAATGAAGAGGAAACTTAATGAGAAAGAATTTGATTACATAAAATTATTCTTCAAAATTATATTATTAAAACATTAACAAATTATGCTAAGGAAGCAGAAACTAGTGTGATCATTAATTTATTTATTGAAACAAATAAATTTAGAGAAGATGCTAAAGGTAAGAATGATGTAAATTAGCTAAAAAAAAACTCTGGAAAATGTTTTAATTAAAAAGAGGCTTAAATATATTGTGAGTTGTTGCTACGAAACGTATGTTTGTAGCTTCTTATGTGTAATTATACTAATATTTTATAATGAATAGCATAAGTTATTTGCATGAAAATGTTAAATATTACATTATGTTTGATAATGATGTACCCTATTTACAGGTAAATTTCATTCTTAGCATTCTTAGAATGGTATTATAATAGTGAGGTTCAATATCGATAGATGCTTTTGTTTACTAAATTTTCTCTACTAACAGATCCTTGATTTTTTTCATTGATGATCCTTACTAAGGCTTAAGTCACTTCAACCAAAATAACTGAGTCCTTCAATTATAGAAACACATAATCTTGCTCCAATAAGTGCTGTAATAAACTCTAACCACAGTATTGTAACAACCTTCCATAGAGCTACTCGATATCTTACAGCTAAAAGACTAACCTTTTCCACTTTCATAAATATGGCAGCAGCATATACATGTTGGCTCGCATCACAAAAAGTGTGCATACTAATGTCTTGCTTTTCATAAGAAGAAATGTTGAACAAAGACAATAAACCAACCCTTTCTAACAGAGGTGAGTCTTTGAACCAACTTTGGAATTCATTTTCAGTGTCAGCATCAACTTTTGAATCCCAAGAGATTTCCTTTTTGCATATTTTCTGGAGAAGCAACTCTGCGAGTAACAAAGCAGGACAAACAAATCCTACTGAATCAAACACTTTATGTGTTTGACAAAACTGATCTTTCAGTGATGTCTCTAAATTGGAAATGCTTTAAACCAATCTAATTTTAGGAAGTCTGTCATCTTTTTTATTCCAAGATATTTCCAACACTGTTGGTGGCAGGGCATCTTTTTCTCCTGTATACTGCCAATCTCTTAAATTAAATTTCCCTACTGCCATAATATGTTCTCCATTTTAAATGAATTGTTAAAGTTCCTTTTCATTGTGCTACTACTTTCGACATAAAAACTGTTTCTCAATTTGGTTTATCAGATATGCATCATATTTCGAATTTTCTGAATATTTTCTCAAGTGGAAATCTACGACTGCTGCTAACAAGTATGGCCTGCTAATTTAACCTTTTGCGACTGGGGCCTTGGCAGTTGTAAAAGCCTTAAAAGGACGGGGTATCCTGAACCGAATGGCTTCCCCCCCTTTAAGAAATCACCTCCTATTTGCAACAAAGATTCTTGTGAGTAATTTAATGGATTCTCAGAGGCACAAAAATTCTATGGCACAAAAAGAAAAGAAGTTTAGGGATTACTGACTAGACTTCAAGATGCTTTTCATCACTGAAGGAAAACTTCATATTACAGTTGTTTTGAATTGAGACTACTGGGCATTACGCAGAAGGAAATGTGTAAACTTCTATTGTAGAAAATGACATTCTTTATATTATAGGATATTACTATCATTTTTACAAAAATTTGTTTAAATTTTAAATTACACTGCAAAATTATGTGTCTTTACTAAGTGCTTACAATAATTATTTCTGTCATATCTTTATATTAATGTTATGTCCAAAATTATTTCAACTATTTGATTATTTAATGGACAATTTAAAATTTAACCAGTCTTTTTTTTAACATTACATGTCCTTATAATTTCAAATTTGTTTTGGTATATATTATCAAATATAAATCTTTGAACTTTCTTCCATGCAGGGAATAATTAAAAAATAAATGCTTAACATTGTAAAAATGATTAAAAATTAAAGTTCAGTGGAACTGTTAAAATTATGCACTACAGGCATAATGAAAGTTTAATTTTACATAATTGTTAGAAATCTGTTTGATAACATACTATTTAAGGAGGAAACTTTCAGCAAATTAGAATATATCTGGTTTAATTAAAAATAATTTTATTTTATTGTAGACTGTTAGTACTGCAATGTCCAACTACGTAAGTAATTTAATTCTAATTTAAATTCAGTTCCCTTCCAAAATACATGCATAATAAAACAGAACCTCCAAAATTGTTTTTAGAATAATATATTTTAGTTTGAAAAATTAGGAAAAAAAATTATTATTTTATCATGTACCGTTTTATACTGTTTATTGAAAATTAGTGAGTGATATATTTCATGTATTAATAATAGAATAAATTTAAGTCATTAAAAATGCCAAATTATTTAGGTATGCAAACCCATAATTCTAAAAGTAAATTCCATTTGTCTTTTTATAATGTGTTCACTTGGGTATCAAAATTTAGGTAATTTCTTAGTGCAAAGAGTTTTTCAAATTGAAGGGAAAATTTGTTTGTTATGCATAGTGTCTGAAAAACTGCGGGATAAAGTTACACGATAATTAGTTGTTGTCTTCAATACTGTATTATATTATCCTATATTTTATTACGCTACATAAATTAGCACATTCTGGAAAGCATTATCTGCAATTGCTAATCTGCAATAATGCTAATTTCCTGATAATTTCAGGTGCTCAGTCAGCAAAACTCTCGTTGTCACATGTGAATTTTGTATTTTGTCTGTTGTCTAAGCCAGTTCATTTCAACTCCAGACTGTCTTTGTAGCAGCTTTGACATCAACCATGGCAGCATATTTCATACTGTGAAATTTAAATTCTACGATATATTAGGGAGTACCTTTACTTGCAGTTACTCAAAAAAACTTCATTGTCAGGTCATGCAAATTCTATACTGACACAGTTGAATTAACTGTTTTTCCCTTTTTCTATTGAAATTTTAACAGCTATTCATTGGTTTCATTAACACGTCAGTCATTATGCTGTTGTATCAAAACGATTTCATAACTGAGTGACCAAGGTATGCCCCCAGGAATTTGTCCTTGAGCATATGTGTCCAATGAATGGCAAAGGCATTCAATCAGTTAAAAGGTCAAGCTTCAGAATTTCAGATGGGGAACATGTGTTGTCTTAAAACAATGATTTGTATATTATTTGAGAGCTTTTATTTCCTGTTTGTATTCTCGGAGCTCAACGGACAGTGACATTTCACAAATGCTACTCTAATCCATTCTGAACATCTTACATCAAAATTATTTGGCCGTGAAATCGAGACACTGATACAGAGGTACCTTTTAAGATGTGCCATCAGTACATCTGGAGTCTAATGGCTAGAGATGAGCCCCAGGGAGAAACAAAATGAAGAAATTCCTCTCTTGCACAAAAGAAAAAGCTTTCAAACTGATTGACTAGTTTTAGTGTGTTTATGATTTCCGGGTTTCAGACTGAAATTATAAAGCTATTTTTGTTTCTTTGACACACAATTTATATTTATGTTCTTGCGATTTATTTGAATAACAGTACCATCACAGTAAACTTCTGTTAGTGAAGGTCACTTCAGCATAAACAGATATATATGGAAATTAAGGCAGACAGAACTGTTAAGAATGAACTCATAAGAATGTAAGAAAAACTACTTTCACCTGTATACAAGTACATGCGAATTTCTATTTGTTTATGGAAATGTATATCTACATATCCATGTAGTATGCATGTTTGCATTTATATAATATGGTATAAGAGCAGATACGTACATAAAATGGAAAGCATGCATACCCTTAAGCTGCAGTAAAGTATATACACACACAGGCACACATATGCATTCATATATATGTGTTTGCATGTGGATTTATGCATACATATATAAACATATAGATATATGTAAGTATACGCAATATTTCATCATCAAGCTCCTGAAGAAATTTTCATATTTCATTTAGTCAGCCCTCTTTTTCTTTTCAGCATATTGATAGAAAAAAGCTAAAATAATTCCTAGAAAACTCATGAAAATATGCAATATTCTAAAACAACGCAAGGCTCTGTTTACAATTTACAAATGCAGTTATCACAAGTTCTGTAGCTATGTAGCTAAAAGAACAAAAAGTGAAAAATTGGGGAAAAAACCGGATCCTTAATACAAAGACTTTTGAAAGAGATAAGTGGTTAAAATCCCAGGGACATCAAATTTGATATTTCACCCCACTCTTTCAGCCTGAAAAATGGGGGTAAAGACACAACCACTAAAGTGGACAGCCCCGTCCTTTCAAACAGGGGACTCTATGGCTACTATAATCGCCATCCCAGCCTCAAAAGGTTAAATTACCATTCTTTGTCCACCATAGGAAATACAAGAAATTTCTATCAAACTTTTAAGAACTAATCTGCAGAAAAACTTTTCTCAATGTCAGCAGAAACTCCATATTTTCTTTCTTTACATCTCAAGAAAAGGTTCGGGATAAGCTCAAAAAGATTTGGACCACAATTCAGACATTGATTTTAAGAAGGCATTGACTTCACTCTTGCAGAAACACCAAAAACAGGTTTATTTTAGTTATTCCATATTGTTTTGCTACAGGTATATGAGATAAGCAACAACCTATTACTTCAATTTCTTCTGGTGGCACTTCCTCAGTTTCCAAATTATGTTATTCTTCTTTTCATACAACTTTTCAGAGTCGAGTCCTTTTGTCCTATTTTCTAATCTTTGAATTCTAAATTTTTATACAAAGATAAAGGAATATGTTCTTCCTTCCAGGGCAGTGTAACATCATAGTGCATACACAGTTACAGATTTAAAAAATTCGTTTTAGTATTAAAATCATCTCAGATTTCTTTTACATTGAATCAGTAATCCTAATTATATCAAAGTTCCATAAGTTCGAAATGGAAGCTTCTTAAATCAATAGTGCTGTCACTTGCATAGCTAAATTTTCACTATTACTAGAAGAGGATGATTTGTTTTTAACTACCAACTTGTTGGAAGGAGGCCACTAGAATGTTTAACTTGTTAAGTAGTAAGAACATTTGCAGCAATATTGGTTCCTAACAATATTTCAGTTGGTCCTGGTTGACAATCGGTATCAGTAATCTCAACATTAAGATTATTGATATCTTTCATCCACGAACCTTATTTTATGAAACTAACATCACTACAGATTATTGGCTCATCTAAAACTTTAAAATTTTCAGCATATCTTTCATTTAGATTTCCTAATTCATCTCTATAATGTGTGTGTTTTTTTTTTTTCATTTGTTTTCTACCCACCAAATAAAGAGGATACACTATTGTTGCCACTCTCAAAGTGATACAACGTACTCTTAAAACAGTCTGTTTCAGAATGCATGATCATTCTCATCCTGTACCTATGACGGTTCTAACAGGCATGTATTTAACTGACTCCCTAACACTTAAATTCAAAGTTTGCAAAAATGCATTAGGACATTTAACAAGACTCGTCAGAGAAGATAAACTTTACAACTTCTCTAAAAACAGTGTCTCCATGTTCATGTGTCTTTTCAGACACTGATGGGCTCATTAATGGAAAATGATGTTTACTACAGACTATGCATTTTAGTTTTGCTTTGTATCTTTTAGAATTGTGTCCAGTTTTATAAAAACAAAACCAAGCACATTTCGTTTTTTTAATCTTTTGTCTTTCATCAAATGTAATTTTCTCAGCATGAAAATAATCACAGCTATGATGCATTTTAGAAAAGAAAACACAAAAGCGCTTTTTTTTTTTTTTTTTTACTTTGAACTAATAATTCTGATGCACTTTACAAACTCTTCATTTCAGAAAATTTTATTTCAATGTTTTAAATTTTTCCTTTCTAATCCAAACTTATCCACTACTGTAGAAACTTGTTGCCCCACATTAACTTCATTTCTCAAAAATTTCATTAATTTCTCTAAATGGCTGTGGAGATAGGATCAGTATTAATGTTTCTTCTACTTGTTCTTAAAATATCTTCCGATAAGCTACTTTCTACAAGGGAATACAATAGATTTGAGTGCTGTCATAGCCGATTCTAACTTATCATAAACATCATGCATTGGCAAGGGATTTGTAACATTTTTAATAACTAATTTGAACAGTTCCCATAAATAAAACTCCAACATAAACTTCTTCCCCGAATCAATCTCAATGTTACAATCACTGTTGGATAATTTCGACCACTTTGTGGACCAGTTGTCTGTACATTTTCTCTAGCTTTGTTACCTTCCTCAGTACACTGAATCAAACACTGAAACTTCTCCAATTGAGCCAAACTAGAAGCTTCCTGTATTTTTTGAGAATTTACTCCAGAAACTAAGCCATTCTCAAAATTACAATTTAATCTTTTACACTCAATCTTGTATAATTTACACCGAGGGCCTTCAGTAACAATTTGATTTTTATTTTGCTCAGCATTTAAGAAGCAAGAAACAAAGAAAACAACTTAAACAAAGAGTGTGTGAGGATTTATCAATTTATTTACTACTATTATTAACTTTTCATCAATAGGTAATTCTGAGTTAAAGTACTTTTCTGTTGCTCCCTTTTTACCCACGCTTTTCATGTCCGAACGTAAACCAGATGGCGAGAGTTTATACAGATTGAGGGAGAACAAAGTGCCATTTAAGCCAAGGTTTCACAATTTAAATTTAGACAGCATGTTCTGCCTACTTGAGGTCATGTTGCTACCATGACTTAAGAGTGATTTGATTCTGTGGTATTGAAGGTTTTTAGCCACTAGGCTTGACTAGCCAGTTTTCTACAAATTAGAACCTTCCTGCGTGTTAGTTCATCCTGAAAGCAATTAGGCAAATTTGATTATAGTTTAACATTACTTATTTCAGCTAAGCCAAAAGTGTTAGCTTGTGTAAGCCCTAATTGGGTCAGTGTTACTCCTTTATGTTCAAATAAAAGGGTCTGATACACCCATCTTCTAACTTTATCATAAGACATATGTATCATAAAAGATCATGTATCATAAAACTTGAAAATAATTAGTCTCTTTAGAGCTTGTTAGTGTATACCTCCTAAGAGTACTATTCTATAACTGAACTAATTATTGAATGAGAAGCGAGAGAGTATTAAAAAAATGGTTAATGCAAGCGTTGTAAAAAATTTAATACAAGTATTAAAAAAAATGTTAACTAATGCAAATCTGTTAAAGGTACACATCAAAGTCTTATTATCTTATACCCAGCAGTTCTCTTAAGCTTTTAAGAACCGTTGAAACTGGGGATTATCTGAGCCAATGGAGACTTAGCCAACCCATCTCCAAAACCAGATTTACCCCATAGCGCACTGAGTTGAAAACTCTGAACTGCATGCATAGCGGAGCTAGTCGACACATGGAACTGACTCTGTTAGCTCAAATGATCCTCAATCTGAATAGCTCTTTAACGTTTGCTTTTGGAACAGCTTTTGTGATGATATCTGCTAACTGATCTTCAGATTTCACACACTTTATAATGACAGATTTGTCTTCCCATTTTTCATGAATAATATGTTAGTGCATATTACTATGTTTTGTGTGTTTCTGAAAGAGACATTTTGAAGAACTTAATAGCACTCTTACCACTAAAGGTAATAAAACCCTCTGAACACATTTCACCTTCACGCACATCTTGCAGAAGTTGATGACACTACAATACCTTTTTCACTGAAGTTGAAACTGCAATATATTCAGCCTCGGCGGTAGATGTAGAAAGAGTTGATTGCTTTTGAATATACCAAGTTATTACACTTTTGCTAAGTACCAGAAGTTAAATTTCTTTGTTAGCAAATTCTGCGTCTGAGTATCCGACAAGACAGCAAGTAACATTAGCTACTGGAAAATACTTGATGCCATAGTTTGTTGTATCTTTCAGGTATTTGAGAATGCATTCTACAGCATTCCATTGTACTTGGTGAGGACTGCTTGAAATATGCTAACCACATTTACAGCAAAAGCTATATCTGAACATGTAGTCATGGCAAAAAACATTAGTGATCTAATACCCTCTCTGTGAGGAACTATTTTCCCATCTGGTAACGGATTGGATTCTAATGATAGGCTTATGCCAGGATCTACAGGTACAGTGTTAGGAGTTGCATCTTCTAAGTGAAATCATTTCAGAACATGCTTTATACAGCTTTCTGAATACATGAAAATTGAGTCACCTGCTTTATTATCAATTTGCATTCCAAAAAAACATCCTGTTTCACAAATTGTTGTTTCAAAACTCTTTCTCAGGTCATCTACAATTTCTGTTCATGATACACGATACACAAAAACGATAAAACAGTATTCACAAATAGAAATAAAACTATTTTCTTATTTCAAAAACTATCACTAAAGACATACGAATCAACAGCACTTTGCTTGAAACCAAAACCAGTTCAGAATTCAGAAAATGTCTTGTTCCAATATCCAGATGTCTATTTCAATCTATATAGGGTTTCAGTTCATAAACAGCCTTCAAGTTTATGCATCATGTTTTTTCATACCATATTCTTAGATTATCCTTGTGAGAAATGTTTGCTTTAAGAGAAATTGTAGTTTTGAAAAGCATGTGATACAAGTATTTTGCAGAACATACTGCAGAGAAAACTAGCTCATCTTCACAGTTGTATATATAAGCATGAGATAGCATTTTTAATTACATCCATTCCTTTATCCATAATAACCCCTTGAGAGAGAAGATTTTTCTTTAAATGTGGAACACAGAGACCACAACATTTTTCTCTTTCCATTTACCATAAATAAAAAATATAAATTAATTCAATAATAATACAAATAAATATAAATTTGAAAATTTTTCCTTTGTGATATTATGATATTTATTGTTTAAGAATTTCTGATGACTGCTCAATAAGTGATATTAAAAAATTGCAATGATAAGCTTTTTTTTTCAGTTCTCTCCAAAATATTTTTATTTAGTTAAAAAAATTGGGCCCATCAGCTGCTTTCAGATCATTTGAGTTTGACAGCACTGTTGTAATTAACACATTAAAGTCAAACATTGAAATTACATAAACCTTTTAATAATGATTATGGAAAACTGAAGAATCAATATTTAGGAAATAAAATTCGGTTTACATGAGCTAAAAAACACAAACTATGGTATAAAAAACTTCATGGTAACAATGCTTACCGATATATTAACTTGTAATTTTTAAAAATCCTTCCTTCTATTTTTAACTCTTGTCAAATTCTGCTTCCTTTTCAACGAATGAAAGAACTGTTATCAACCCTCTGACCTGCAAAACCGGCTTTAACCGGTCAAAAAAATTTTTGGTCATTTGGTATATATATTAGCTTATAATTTAAGACATTTTGCTTTACTTTCTTTAATGTAAATGTCATCTTAATGAATGTCAGTTTAAAAAAATAAGAGATTAAAATAAATATTTACACAAATTTAGCTAATAAATGCTCTTTAAATAATGCTTCATGACAGACGCATGCCACTCAAATAGTTAAACTGTGTTTTCTATAACTATGTTAAGCATTCTTTTTATCACTAACACAGCAGTTTAACAAGCCTTTCCATATCTATATGTACAAACAAAATATAAAAAATATGGACAAGATGATGGAAGTGTAAAAGTGAAAGACAAATTTACATATTGATAATAATTTTTTATCATAAATTCTTGTTTGATTTTTTTTCTTCTATAACTTACATAAACTTGATTTTGAAATACTGAGGTTCTTGGTAACAAGAAATAAAGCTATTCATTTTCTTTTTGAAACATAAATATGCAACACTAACTCATTTTAATTTCTATTCCTCCTATTTTTGTAGGTCTATCATGAAGAATGCTTCTGTGAAATATATCAAGGTAATTATTTTTTCAAATTTGAAATTAAAATGTTTCAATATATTTTAAATCCTACAGTTAAAAGAATACAAGATTGCATTTAAGTTGTTAACAGTCTCTCACTTTGCCATATCCTTAAGTAAGTATTCTGTCTGTAACTCATTTTGAGATTAGATCAGAGTATGTCACCATCGTATTAAATGCAATAATGCACTGCACTTAAGTTTTAAAATAAAGACCTTAATTTCCAGCACAATAATAGGCTGTACCACTGATTTGGGAAAAGTAAGGATGCTTTTCATCTACTGCTCACAACTGTCTTTTCAAGCATATACGTATTCCACATGAGTAAGAAAACTCCCAAGAAAAGTAGTTAAAGTGAAAACGTGATGTCATAAATTTAAGAAAATTTTCTGTCTTTACAGTACAAAGTACAAAATTGCTTTGTATTATAATATTTTATGATGTAATAGCTTTTTCATGATTAATTTACAAGTTGTTTAGGATTCAATATTATGTTCATGGGGGATGGCATGTGTACTGACCTTCTGCCAGGAGAGAATACAGGTAAATTTAACAGAATACAAGTTTATTTTTATTCCTTGTTTACTCTACGAGTTTCTCATTCATCTCTGTTTAGCTAAAATTTTAATTTCAGCACTTCAACCTTTCCTAGGAGAAAAAAATCATTGACTTCAAAATTGTCATCTGGCATCAAAACGTTACACAGTTATAGCCCTTAAATGTGGCAAATTCAGGAAACAGAAATGCACATTAGGTCCACATCCTAGTTGAATGGAAAGTTGTTGATATGAAAGCCTACTTTTATTCTTTAGAGATTCTCAACCTTTTTTTTGCCGTGGCATAGTTTTAATGATTTCAAAATTTGGTGGCACACAAAGAAAAAGATAAGTTTAAAAGTTGTTTACTTACCTAAAATACACTGTGTAAAATAGTTTATAATAATAACTTTGAATGTAAAATAAAGTAATATGTACTACAAATACAGCAGTATGTTTCTTAAGGGATTAATTACAAGTTAGTAATAAAAATACTTTTAATGAGAAATTTCAGCTAGTTGTTTTTGATAATTTCATTTATATTTGGTCGTCAAAATTACAATGCTACTCTCATATCGTCTTCTACATTTAACATCTTTTTTACGTTTTTATGATGGTTAATACTGAAAACCCAAATTCACACAAATAAGATGTAGAAAAGTGTAATAGTATTTTTAAAGCTTTTTTGGCCATCATGGGATAATCACATCTAATGCTAATCCAAAATGAATTGATTCTTCCGAATATTTTAAAATTAAATATTGATAATTAGAAAGCGAAATTAGTTCTTCCTCTCCGTTCAAATTTAATTCAAATGCAGAAGTATTCTGCACCAAAATTGGCTTGGATACCATAAGTGGAGCACTTTTTAATGTCTTAAAAATCGAATTTCGCATATTCTCATGTGTATCGTATACTAGGACTAAAACTATTATAATTTTTACTACATACATTTCTAAAATTTAGTGGCAGTGGTTGAGAATGACAGCTTTAGACTATTGTCTTTGTTAATTTCAGATGAGACTGGAGAACACAAGAGAAATTTTCACCCTGGGTTAGGATACAAATAGGTGGTTTTTGAAATTAAAATTTCACAGTTGGTGAAAGGAGGGAAAATATTTCTCTTTGAAAAAGGATATCCGTAGGAAGCCAAAGGAGCTGAAAGCCAAATAAGAGCTTTGAGGTGTATCAAATAATAAAATAGTTTAATGGCATTTCTCCTTGAACAAAATGATATATTACAAGCTATATTTACAGAAAATTAAAAAGGGGTCCTTACGGGGCTCAATAATTGAAGGTGTTCGGGGAGATGCTTGGCATCATACCACGAAGCATGCTCCTTTTTATATATAAAATCTAAAGCATAAGATATAACAACTTCAAAAATACAACATACTTTTTCAGATGAGACATAGTGTTTTATTTTTCAATTTTGGGCTGAGTTACATCTTCTTGTAACATTAAACCCTTATCACATACGATATTTGTTGCCGGAACAAAACGTTTGCAGCAACAGTTCTGAGAAACGCCCTTTGGCGAAATAGGGTTACCATCTTCACTTGATAAACAAGCTGAAAGCCAGACAAGAATCAGTTATCGCTCAGATTGGCGAAAGCGACGTTTCCTTTCAAGTGACATTTGCTTCTTCACGTTGCTTGTATCGCTCACACGCTTTTCGTTTTAAACTTTATTGTTAGTAATGGAAGATAATAGAAAGGTGATTGCTATCAAGTTAATCACTTTGATCTCCACTCTGGCACTTCAAGTAACAGATAAACACACTTCTGGTTACAGTGATCAATTACATCAGTAATAGCCAAATTCTGTATACGCTAAAAATAGTTTAATACGTGTGCTGGATAAATAGGTGATAATCAGTTGTGCACTGTTTTAAGTAATCAAATGTTATAAATGCACAGCTGTTACATTTCTTATTATTTATTAGTCATGTTTTTATTACGTAGATCATACATATGATATAATTATGAATTAATCCAATAACAAAATGTTTACACTCTTTAGTACTCAAATACTCATCAATTATTTTTCAACTGATTATTACATACCCATAATAATTTGCAAAGAACTGATAACTATAGTTGCTGCCAATTACATAATTGTTATCTGAATTATAAGCAACTTCAAATAAACTTCTTGGCAATGTTCATTTTTGTATTCATACATAGATATATATACACATCTAATAAGTCTATTTATCAGACATTATCTATGTGTATTTTCTGTTGTCTGCATTGCAATGAAAATTTGATGGCTCACTGGAAAATTTGTGACCTGGTGACCACCTTCTGACCTTGACTAACTTTATGGCTCATAATTACTGTTCTGTCCATTCAAACAAACAAACAAAAAACAAAAAAAAAAAAAAAAAAAAGACCTTTATGACAAAAGTCTATATGGCTGATATTTACATCCTCACAGCCAGCAGATACTATTCAGCAAAATGAAGATCAAATAAAGCATATGAATACATGAGCAATCAAACATGTGCGAGTTGTTTACTGTCCCATAGAACACTCGGTAATACATCTAAAACACATTAATTATACCAATTCTAGAAATTAGGTGGTGCACATCATGAGTTTGTTTTATGTGATTACAGCAAAGCCTCGAGGGATATCTGCCTAACAAGAGGGGTCCCTTTGTTGAAGATTTTTTAAAACTGGCTCGTATACCAGTTACAAATGGGACAAACCAAGGAAACGTCATGTAGCCAGCCCGTTCGCGGCATTCTAACCTGAGACAGAACTACCAGTATTCAACGATGCTTCAGCCACTAGTAGGCCCGTACACTTAATTGGAAAGTGCAATTCATTATGTAAACAGACATGAAGGTGATAATCAGTTGTGCACTGTTTTAAGTAATCAAATGTTATAAATGCACAGCTGTTACATTTCTTATTATTAATTAGTCACGTTTTTAATTACGTAGATCATACATGATATAATTATGAATTAACACAATAACAAAATGTGTACAATCTTTAATACTCAAATACTCATCAGTTATTTTTCAACTGATTATTACATACCCATAATAATTTGCAAAGAACTGATAACTATAGTTGCTGCCAATTACATAATCGTTATCTGAATTAAAAGCAACTTCAAATAAACTTCTTGGCAATGTTCATTTTTGTATTCATACATACATATCTAATAAGTCATATATTTACATACAGATAGAGAGATGCGATGGTTTAGAAGTTGTTTATATATTTATTAGCATTAATGTAATGAATAAGATTTACATTAATGAATGTATATATAAATGTTTTTCACCATGCATAATAATAAATCCATAAATTTCCAATGTTTCAATATGTAGCATTTACAATAAAAGTATAGTTTCTAATGTCGAAAAGTATTTCATTAATAACATGAAAATAATATACAAATTTAATGAGTATTCTCATTATTACATAAGCTATGCTTTTCTTTTTTTATGCATCTTTTATGCTGTTTAAAATGTGTCACTGATTATGCAATTAACAATTTAAAAGATAAGTAATTAGGAGAAAAGCCGCACATATACAAACGGATTTTAAAAAATTATTCAACTTAAATTTAAGAAATAAAATTCTATTATAATACAGTGATAATACACGATCAGCACGAAATACGACACATTTGGCGAACTTTTGACGATGAACAATTTGTAAACAATTCCAAACTGCAAGAACATCGTAAAATACCGTCAACTCTGAAATTTCCATGATTATATATTTAATGAATATATAAACATTTTAAAAATGACGCAGGTAGTTATATTATTACAGCAAAACAGCAATAATTAAATCAACCTCTATTTCCACCGTCCATGACTTCACAGTGAGAGCCACCGCCATATTGAAAGTTACCGTGATCCTTCAGAAGCAGAACTTTCGTTTGATTGGTTGAACGTTCGAGGAACACGTCTCCAGCCGGAACATTTTTGGAAAAGTTTTAAAATGTTGCTCGTAGCCGGGACAGGTTCCTCCTAGCTAGACGAAACATATCTCGTTATATTATTACAGCAAAACAGCAATAATTAAATCCACCTCTATTTCCACCGTCTATCACTTCACAGTGAGAGCCACCGCCATATTGAAAGTTACCCATGATCCTTCAGAAGCAGAACTTTCGTCTGATTGGTTGAACGTTCGAGGAACACGTCTCCAGCCGGAACATTTTTGGAAAAGTTTTAAAATGTTGCTCGTAGCCGGGACAGGTTCCTCCTAGCTAGACGAAACATTTCTCGGAAGCCTCCCGCTTAAAGCCGTCCTACTAGAATCTCATTTCTCGGAATTGTCCCAGGTAAGCGCGTGCATCCATAGAAGTGATAGGGCTATTACGTCTTTGCAGATGAGGTTTTTGTCGCACAAACGTCGCTATTGCATCTTTATTAGGTTATACTTCGCTTGTTAAAGCATCGTATCACGACGTCTTAACGACGCCTAAATGTTAGCAGAATTCGACCTTTTTGCAACAATTGTGAAAAAGTCGTTATTATGTCCTTGTGTTACATATTGATTTTTGCAGAAAAATAAGCTTAATAATTAATGTATTTTTCTTGTTTTTTTAAAATTTTGTATTCCTTGTATTTTCTAAAGTTTAAATATTTTATCATTTTCTGAAAACCAGAAGATAATACAAATTTTTTCTCTTTAGAATAAATATGCATAATTATTAATAGCCTTAATTATTTTCAGTACTTTAAACTATATTTTTTAAATAACTTAAATTCCAAGTCACTATTATTTAAGATTTCATAATTTTTTTCCTTAATCCTTTAGTATGTAAGTGAGAATAATTATGAAAGCGGTTATTATAAATCTATAACATTAATAGTAGTTTTTAAGTAAATAAAACTCAAACAGACATAAATAAAGATATATATGTGAGTAAGCAAAAGAGCGTTTCTGATTATAACAGCATTATCCCATTTATTTCTGTTAAATCTCAGAGGCATTGAAAATTGCCCCGGTCATGATAAATTAGGAAGCGGTTCTTAAGGTAGCGTAATCAGTATTTTACCAGAACTCAAGTATTAGTAATGTAACATACCTGCATCCAATAACAGCATATTGAGCTCATTGTTGATATATAAATATATCACCATTTTCACTTAAAAAAATTTTGTTGATAAGAATATCACAAAAATACAATTTTCTATATCTCTTTCAGAGTTGAGAAATCAACATTTATTAAGATGGAACAGAAGCATACAGAACAGGCTGCAAGACACTACCAGTACACAAATGAATAAATATTCACGTATTTGTTCCAGAGTTTCAACAGAAGAAGCAAAACAGTCAAACAGCAAAATACAGCCAGCTCAACAATTTAAAGAATTACAATTTGCTGAAGAATTAAGGATGCGTGAAGAACCTATTCATAAAGAACCAACTGTGAAAAGAAGAAGGTATGAAAAGAGAACTTAATTCCATCACTAATCTGTCCTATACAATGCCCAGTGAGAAGGCATTCTTTTAACCCAAAATATGTAGACTTGCAAAGCAAAAGTACGTTAGCCATTATAAAGAATATCCTAAAGCTTGTAAAAGATCTAAAGAATGCAACCCCTTCTCCTTCATAACACAGAACTTCAACCTCCTTTCAAATACCGCAACAAAAGAAACTAATAAGGATGAAAAATCTTCATACTCTAAAAGGAAAATCGCATGCATTGTACAGAGCTCATAAGAACCTACTAACGACTTCCTCTTTCCCTAAATTGCAAAAATTTCAAATCCCCAATCACAGCTTCATCTGAAAATTCAACTGAAGTACTTGAATTGAATCAAAGAGCCCATACAAGTTCTCTGGCTTTATGATCACAAACACTATATACTACCTTAAGATTTACTTATTCTGTGTGCTGGTTCTCAATGAATAAGACCTGCTTTGCATAGCATTTAAGAATCGCATAGAGACCAGCAAATGAACTGCTTTGCATAGCATTCGAGAGCAAAATGACTTGCTTTGCATAACCATAAAGCTATTTCCTCTATCCTTGCGTCAATGGAATATGGATCTTAACATCCTAAACATGAATGATTTTAAGAATTGGTAAATTTTCAACTCAAACTTACAAAAATTCTGGGGAAAATATAAAAAAAAGCTTAAAATCAAAGATATCCCATTAAGTTCATTAAATATGATTTCATACATTTGAAATTTTGTTTTGCAATATAAAGCCATGTTTAAGTGTACACAAAAAAGGATAAGACCAAAATGTTCATTATATGTGAGGGTTCATTAAAAGGCAAGTTTGTTACAGACTTTGACTGTAATTTATATAGAAAAGAATTGTACAGTAATAAGACAAATCAGTTCCAAATCGATGTAGTTCAAAATGTAAATTTGATTTTATTGCCCTCCAACATATCTCTACATGTTTTGCATATTTATTTTTTCCCTAGCACTGCCAGGGCTTGGGCAGAAGACTCCTCTGCAATCAGCAGGATCAATGACCAAGTATATAACATCATGCAATTGTGAACAGTGGACTCAATGGATCAAATTTGAGTGAAAATGGAAATTGCATTTTATTATTATGTTCACCTTACTGTCTTTAACATATTTTGAAAATAAATTCTTTTCATTATTACAGATACTCTTTTATATTCTTGATTAGCACAGAATATATACAATACATTAATCACCATAAAATTTTATTAAAATTGCATGAAAAATGACTATTGGTTTTCAGGCTTATTCTGTGATTTTATTTACAAGCATTCTCCCATGTGCCATTAGCAAAAGAGTTAACCACAATTATTTTTATTATTTTTGATTTTTCACTATTTATATTATTTTTATTACATTATTATTTATTTTTTAATTTACAATTACAGATATTGTTTTAATTTCTGCATTAGCCACAGAAAATATGTTGCAAATCCTACAGGAAAAGAAATTAGAACTGTGCAATCAGAAAAAATTCATTTCGCGGAAAGTCATGCAAGTTCAAAAATTCAGATTTTTTTTTTTTTTTTCATTTTAATGAAGGCCTACCTTTTAATTAACAATCACATTTTAATCTAGCATCTTTTAGCAATAACTAGAGCAGGTAAGTGCTATAGTTTTTAGAGATGACTTTGTGGAAGACTTTTAGGCAAAACTGGTTCATATTCACACAACCCACCAAAGGAAAGGAAACAATGAAAAGCAACCATGTAGCCAGACAGACTGTTTTCCTCAGCTCAAGCAAATGTCAAAACAGCATTAGGTGGTCATAAGCACTTAGCTACTGGTGTGGCTCCAATTGGCAAGCAAAACAAAGTCATGAATGACATTTTTACAGGGTTGAGGCACTTAAAAAATTTTATTCCAAAATTTGTTTTCATAGGAATTTTAAGTTCGAGACGTGCACTTTCACTAAATTCTATGCAATTTACTTGTTGCTGTCTTTGTGTGAGTATGATAATGCTAGGAGAAAATTAAACATGTCAGCATATAAAATGGAATTCTCTGAAAAATTTATAACAAAGAAAAACAATCAAACCACAAAAGGCCATGCCATTCCCAAGGCAGATGTTATCACTTTTGTAACTTTAACTACTTTATAATCTTATATTCAACCTTCAGAAAGAGTTAAGAAGGTCTGATTTTAAAGATGTTGAATATGTTAAAATCAAAAGAGAAATTAATTACTAAACAAAGTTCAGTATTGCAAGAAACACCTCAGGAATTTGGCAGAAAGCTTGGACATGGTGGATTTTAAACAAGAACATGGTGGTTTGTGCAGTTTTAGAAAATGGTATTAAAATTATCCATATACAAGGATAAAAGTGTTCTTTCAAATAATGCTATGAAAGATTAAACAAAAATGTCTTATAAGATGTGATGATGGATTAGCTTACAGTAAACAGACTTCTAGAACAAGAATTCCCAAACATCCACAGCTAAGCTAATGGCACAGAGAGAGGATATGCAAACCTAATTTACTGGAAATGCTTTGACCAAAACAACTCTAGTTTTATATTAAAAAGAATATTACTGAAATTTTTATATACACTACAATTAAAAGTAGATTATCACTGTAATCTAATTTTCAGAGTAATTCTAACTCTAAATACCTCCCTACAAAACAAAGCCAAAAACTAATATTGTTGCACACCAACGGCTGAGCAGTAAATGGCATACAACACTTGTAGTTTTGTTTGGGGTAAACGAGTTTCGAGGAACAGGCTAGCTGCATGGACGTTTTCATGGTTTTCGGTATGTGTAATGTGGATACGAGCCAGTTTCCCTTGGTTCCCTTAAAAGACGGCGGCCTTCATACTCCCTTTCTGTGCCTATGTGCCCGAAAGGGGGAGCACATAATATGTGAAATGGGGGAGAAGAACTCATTCTGTGGAAAAATGCGAGTGAATAACATCAGACTTAATGCATTACAGTTAATGAATCAAATGAGTGATATCATATACAAAGAACATAAATATTAATCCAAATACTCACATTGAACTATAATTTCAATAAAAAATGAGCCAATTCAGATGAATATCTTTTTTTTTTTTTTTTTTTCCCCCTTGAAAATGACAATCTTAACATACCTGTTGAAAAATATATAATTATACTTTGCAAATTTCATTAAAATTAAATACAGTACTAAAAAAAATCTTAAGGGCTATTGACTCTGGGTAGCTGCAACAAGTTTTTTTCCTCATAGCGAACCGAGTTAAAAAATCATATAGCAGAGCTTCACATATAGGCAGAGCTAGTCAACAGATGTAACTGACTTTGTTAGCTCATATAAACCACAGTATGAATAGCCCTTTACGCATATCGAATGTGAATAATAACTGACATAACCTACTCATTGGTTATTAATCTTAGAGCAATACTATAAAATATAATTCTTTCTTATAAAGAAACATGATTACTTCACTTCATTCAGGTAATATTTGTACAGCAATCTACATCATTATTGTAGAATTGGAATGATTTAAGGATTTTATACAACCGATAAAAATGACACTAAGGTATTAAAAGACTATCTCATCCTCCCATCTACACCCTTGTCTTCCGTATATCCTACTGCTCAATCTAAAGTGCTGCGACTTAATACACTGTTATCATTGCCTCCATGTATAAATTCTGTTGTGTTCTAACTCATCTATTCTCAAAGGTAAAAAATAAATTGCACATATTATTACTGCTTCTATTAACTGTTTTATACATAATAGTTTTCAAGTTTCACAATATCGAAGCACATACTTTTTTAAATATGTCTGAAACATTTTTCAGCATTAACTAATAATAATTACTTCTTTGCTTTATCCCATTTACATTAGGGAAAGCTCTACTCTTAAAAAGCAAAAACCACAAAAAGAATTATATCAAAAAATGAAATATTTTAAAATAATTACCAAATTAAAATTTTGAAATGATGATAACTATTGAAGTTTTTTTTCTCCTGAAAAGGCAACAGAGGATATATAATATATTTAAAAATAAGACTTTAGTCAACATGAAATTTTGTTTGATCTCTGTTAGTCTGTGATGGGAGAAAAGTGCTTCAAATATCTCCAAAAGTACATGCAAAGCCCTAGGACGCTTCACAACTGATGCATATTTTCAGAGTATCTCCAAACTTTTAACTGCTGACACTTTGCTGGATCTGTACACACACGTTCAGCAGAGATGATATGTCCAATGTAACTCACTTGATGTCTGAACAATTTACATTTGGCAGGATTACGACATTCAAAAATCAGGAGTTTTTTTAGGAAGTCAGGAGAATTTTCTCAATGACAAAAAGATTTTTTGAAAAATAAAAATATGTAGAAAGAAAATATATCTTTTAATAATAAATTAAGTTGAATTACTACCTAATTAATATCTCCAATATTAATACTTGGATCATACAGAAATGATTGACACAACGGCTCTCACAACAAAACTATAACACTATGCGAAGGGAAAACAACTAAAATAGACACAAGGGGGCATGACTAAAAATTAAAAATGTGGAATAGTGGTCAAAGATTATAGAATTTAATTTAAGCTGACTCAGTAAATTTATCATAATATAACACATTCAAATGTTAGCAGCGATAATGGAAATTACAAATTATCAGAGCTGACAGGAACTAATACAGCGAGCAAAGAGGTCAGAAATACTTTGTGTTACACTCCCAAAACCTCAGTTTAAAAACTGTCCAAGTGATTTGAATTCTAGTGATAAAATAGAAATGAGAAATTATAGTAAAGACTGAAATTATAAACAACTGGATAATTTACATATCTTTAACAACTGTACATATCTTTGAAGAATAATTTTCTTTTCCTTTATGTATTCAGTTTCTTCTTCAATACGTTTCCATTTCATTTTAGAATTTTTGGATTTAATTAAAGATTTCTGTTATTCTAAAAAAGCTAAATGCATTTAGAATGTATAAAAAAAGCTGCTAATTTTACTTTTTTTAGTAATATGAACATTCAGAAGAAATATGAAATATATATGGTAAGGGCTAATTACAGAGCTAGTGTGGCAGAATTATTAGAATTTAGTGACACACCAAGCAATAAAATCTAGAAATGGCAAAGCTTTTCGAATTTAGAGCAGGCAGTAGAAGCAGAATTGAGAAGCCACAGAAATTACATCAGGTGGGAAAATGTCTAATGCGAGCCCCGTGTATGATGCATTAAGACATATTAGATGAATCTTTTAAATCGTCAGTTTTAAATTTTTTTATTAATAAAAAAAATTCCTTCCTATAATGCCAGTCCATGTGATAAGATTAGAAGCATGTTTGATATCTATCATGCTTGTATCTAGAGAAAAGTAGGGAAAACAAAGGGAAAATAAATATGTTACAAAAAAGATTCTAGTATCAGAAGTAAAACATTCAAATATCATGTTCTTATTGTTCTTCCGGGAGTTTTCCAAAAAGTAAGAAATTCATCGCAAACTTTTGTCTAGAGAAAAGTAGGGAAAATGAACATGTTACAAAAAAGATTCTAGTATCAGAAGTAAAACATTCAAATATTATGTTTTTATTGTTCTTCCAGACGTTTTCCAAAAAGTAAGAAATTAATCGCAAACTTCCTGAAAAATACATCCATTACATGTTAATGCCATGGAGACATTTTTTATTTTATCACATTTTTCTGGAATATTCTAGAATTATCTATAAATCCTTCTAAACTTTCCAAGCTGCAATGTCTAAAATCCTAAAAAATTACCCCTACCAATTCTGTAACAGCAAAATGGCAGAAATATTTTGGGAAAAAAAAAAAAAAAAAAAAAGGGAAAAACAGTAAAATTAATTTTATAGAGAAAACTGATGCATATCCTGAGAACTCCTAAGACAATTACACAGGAAAAACTCTTAGCATGAAACAATTAAAAAGAATATATTTTTAATTAATTAGATAGCTATTTTGCTTTTGTTAAGAACTGTTTAGTAAATTGTGCCAGTATAGTAAATACCTTGTTTATTTTTCAGATTTAAAATATTGTACAAGTGGCCAAAATGAAACTTTATAATACGACAGCGAAAAATAAAAACGTTATTTTTTAAATATAATTTCAATATATTACCATCATTTTAATGAAATTTATCAATGTTACAATGTTTTTAAAAAAATTGCCAGATCTCGGA